AACAATGTAAGAAAAAATTGTTACCTTTTTCATTCTTCTCCATTTTATTTGTTGTGTTGGAAGCTCTAGCTGTCTCCTTTTTGGTGGTGGTGTTCTTGGAAACTTGAATAGGTAAGGTTAACAAGAGTTCAGTGCTTACAATATCTCACATACTTAAAAAAGAAAACTAAATTGATACAGCTCACTGATGGACTTGTAAGGTTCGTTGTGTTTGAGAATAGTCCATTTCAGAGTTGTTTGAGGGTAAAAGCTAAGGTTAACTTTGTTACAAAAGAGACAAGAGACCTAGCAAGGTTAGTATAACAAATTATTACTGAGAAAGGCACTCTCAACCACATTCTTGTTAATTGGCATCTAAATGTGCACATGCAAAATTGACTATTCAAAGTACTTTATAATTAAATCGGAAGTTAATTCTGAAATAAAATCTGGAAATTAGCACTATGCATTAACTACCCACAATAGCATGACCATGTTCTTATAGAGCCCTGGTACCAGAGGTGAGGCAACTAATTTATGTCATTTTACAATTAATGTAAAACTTGCTTTTTGAAAGCTTTTGAGAGCATATATCAGAGCTAAGAGCATATCTTTCACATGGGTCTTGGTGTAAGAGAGCAGGTAGCTATGTGTACATATAGCACAAACACGCACTTAGCCTTACACCAGTTTTTTCCTCTTCTACCTTCAGGCTAAATTTCCAAAATAGTGAAGTTTTTATCTGCAGCTTTTAGGAACTATAACAGACTGTAAATGACTCTTGATAAACAAATAATTCATGCTTTGGAGTGAATTACAAAAGTTATTTTAAAAAATTCAGGTGAAATTTAGGAGGCAAATTATGTGCCTCTGGGACCATAATTGAGCTTTTTCATTAGTTTTCATTGTATATAGGTCTTTTACTCTTAAATAGACTTAGCCAGCAACAAAAGCCTTTTGACGTAAAAGATGCATTTAGTATTAATTTCAATGACATTTTAAACTCAGAAATCTACAACGAAGGTTACACCAAAACTCTCCCAGAATTAAAAAATATTAAAGCAAAGCAAATTGGCATTAATTTTTTGCTTTCATAATGCCTTTGAGTGTAGTTAAAGAATAATTGGATTGTGAAGCATGCTTAAACAAACTGATTGTGATGACATGCCTTTGTAAGCAACATGTACATTATATACATGTAAATATACACAGCTCTACCTTTTTGTTTGGCTAGAATAGGTTTCTCCTCTATAAGACCAAAGTTCTCTTCCTCTGTGTAACTGTCTGTGTTTGTGTCTGAGCTCCCATCAGATCTGGAAACTGAGTCATCTGTCTCTGGACTTGAGCCCTCTGAATCACTAGATTCCAGACCCACTAAGTACAAAAGAAACTAAACTTTCAGATAAAAAGCAAATGTAGTAATACAGTAGTAATTTTGGGTCAGAACAGATTCAGACTAGTTTGATTTGACCACATGAGAGAGTATTTGACAAATCTTTGACAAAGAGGAAGTAGGACACAACACCAGTAAAATGGCTGATAAATGAGACCCTTACATGGTCCTGACTATTAATTATTTATGTGAAGGATTACCAGTCAGATTACGTAGCCTTAAGTGTTAACCCTTTAACTCCCATGAGTGACCAAGACAGAATTTCTCCTTACATTATCAATACAATATCAACCAAATAAGTGACGAGAATGAAAGAAAATATCAATTTGGAGATAATTAGTTGATCCAATACTTAATTCTCTGAAGTGACATTATAAGAATTGTATTATTGACAGTAAGAAGAATTACAAATTTGATCTGGGAGTTGAAGGGTTAACTCTTCAAAACTTCTTTGATAGCCCCATTAGTTTAGGAAAATGATCATGTTATACATTTACAACTCTGTAAGGCATAATTTAGGTTTTTTCTTACAGGAAATCTTACAAAAATTTGATCAAAATTGTTGTCTCCACATTCACAAGTACTACCAAATCTAGAAAATTTTTGAAATTTTGTTTGTCACAAGGTCCTAACATATACCTCCAACTGAGGTTCAAACTGTTGCTTGTGAAAACTAACAAGAAACCCACAGATTAACCCTACTACAAAAGTTCCAGGCTTTATAACAATGCACATACATTTACATACCTCTCTGTCTTTTTCGAGGAGCAGTCAGCCTGTTGTCACTTTCCAATTCAAAATGATTTGCTTCTAATTGCCTTAAGATATCAGAATGTGCATGAGTCATTGCAGCTCATGACAGAAAAAATTAATAGAATAAGTGCTGCACAGGTGATGCTGCACATATTCAGGGGGGAGGTGCTTATTCAAGTAAATAAATTAAGTTACATTTTAAAACATGATCTAAAAACAAATTCTTTCTTACACCATCATTCACAAATTTAGTTCTATATATTTACAACTAAAAATTTCCTAAGATTTTACTCATTTCATCGATGAAACATCTGTAGAAAATTCACTTAACCTCAAGTATCTCATCATTATTGTTATCACTTTGGTTATCATTATAAGTATAATGATGATAGGACTGAGTGGGGTCTGATGAAGTCTAGTTGTGAAAGTGATACCAAAAAATCCATGACGAATTTGAAGTGAATGACAAATTTGTTAATCACAAGTATGATTAGAGACAGAATTGGACAGCTTGAAGTCCTGTTACCAATTAATCAAAACTATGACAACATTCTAGAAACAAACTAGCCCTTGGTTATACCTTTTCATAGAAAACAACAGATAACTTAGCAAAAAGTGCAACAACAGCACACATGTGACACAAACACAGGCATGACCTATTGGTACTCAAATAGGACTGGTGCTAACCAATCATGTTTGAGAATTTTGTTATAGTTTTGATTGTCATTATTATTATCATTACTCATGCACATATTTATAATGAAAAAGAGTAGTTTTTGGTCAGTAGACTATAAAATTGTATGTCTAGCTTGAGTTTTACAATGCATATGTGATTTAAAACAATTTAATCAGTGAAAGGGAAAGATTGTTTCAATAAATGGAAACTTCTTCCAGTAAGAGCATTCTGAAGGTCAGATATACATGCAATAGCCTCACAATCCCAGACAAATTCTTTTCAAGGATCCTAGCTGAGTTGAGGTAAATTTCATTAAGTCTCACCTTTGCAATTCCCACAGCAATTGCCAGGACATAACGTTAGCTGAAATGATGTTAGCTGATATAACAGATGTTAGAAGTTAGCTGATATAACAGACAATCCCTTAGCTAACACAGGTGGGCTTTAACCCAGAGAACTGAAAATTGATCATTTACTTGGATTAACACAATAGTTAAGCCAAACCGTTAGTTATAACGCTGGCATAGCAATTTTGACGTAGAATATGCTCGAAGACAACATCTCTCCTTAGCGTTTGTACGAAAAGAGGAAAGATTTTTGCATAGCCCCAGAATATTCTGAAACAAAGCCGTAAAGGAGTTCCAAAGGCAATCTACTATTTTTGCCAGTGCGTTTCCGTTATGCAAGAACTTTGTGGAAAAACGCAGAATCAGTGGACTGTGCGGAAATCTTGCCCTTCAAGGCGCTACATCCTTCTTGCTAGAAATTGCTTATTGACATATCTACATTTAAAATGTAGAACCGCTAATATGAAGTACTTTGAAAAAACGTTAGATAAACAATCTGATAAACACAAAGGTAAAATTTCCGCATAGCCCCATACTACATTATGCAATCAGTTCTTGGATAGAGAAAACAATGACAAAAACAATTCATTGCCATTGGGAAAACAGATTTGTTTTACAATAGTATGAGGCTGTGCACAAATTTTACCAAACACAAATAATTCGGCATTGAAATCGAGCACGTGGAATGCAACGTTTCACTGCGCAGTTTTCAAGAGGGATAAGAAATAACAATTGCGAGAAAAAAAAACGTAAAATTATCACAATAGAAATTTGGTGAGCATAACACTTACCCTGAAGACCTCAGTGTCGAGGAAAGAGCCGTAACTCATCCATGCTAAGAAGAGAGAGAGAGAGAGACGTAATGTGATACTTTGAGCGCCAAAATGCAACGGTGCCCAACGGTGTGGAAACAACTTTTCACCATTCCCTCTCCTGGCAAATTATTCATGCCAGACCCCTCTAAAACTTCCCGCCGCCCCGCATTGCTAAAATCCTCAAACTTTCTCGCGGGCAAAGGCACGCTCGTGCTGCAGCGCTAAATATGGGGCCTCCTCGCATATTATTGTTTAAATCTCGCCATCTCCGGTTGTGGAAGTGAGACAATACCACAGTGTTTTTTTAATGTTCCTCCAAACTTTCACAGGTGTCTTCCGAAAAAGCTTTTGTGCGCGCGCTGTAAGTCTCAGGTGAAGGAAGCCAGAAAATAATGGTAATTGAACTGAGTGGAGTGCAATTTGGCCTGAAATCATATGCGTGATTTGAAATCACAAGTATGATTTTAGACAAAAATTGCACGACACGAGGTTCCACTTTTTATTACATCTATTTTGAAATCGCCCAAATACAGGACTTGGTCAGGTCTTATATTTTATTTATGCAGTACTGAGCCCGTTTGAAATTAAATTCATCCATTTTTTGGGGGGAAAAATAAGAGTTTTGGAAACATAAGTAGCAAAATTTGCTTCACGATACGCTTTGTCTATCATTTTCCTGCAATTTGATTGGTTACTTTAAACAAGCCTTGAAATCTGATTGGTTGTTTTGTTTTTAGTGAAGCCTCCTCATTAGCATGGAAAAAGATGCAATTTAAAGCAAAAAATGGTGCGATTCGTGAATAAATCGCACCAATTAGAGCTAATCAGATTACAAGGACAACCAGGGATTTCAAAATGGGTGTAATAAACAGTAAAGTGACCTAGTGTCATTCTGTTAAATCAAAGGTAGCCCTAGCTTACACGATGAGCCTCCAAAGATATACAAACATTTTTAATATTGCGCTATGGTTCAAGACTGGGGGAAAAAAAGGTCGCATCCTTCACTTAAAAATTTTATTTTCGTCAGGAGCCCATTACCATTATTAATGGACTCCTGGTTTTGTATAAAAACAAAATTGCCATACTTCTATGGTTGGTCGATTGCACCTTGGGAGTTTTCTGGGCGAATTTAAGGATATCTGGGTCGTTCTTAGTTCTGCTGCTTTATCCACCATATAATCTTCAGCAAAATGGTTGTTAATATCAAGTTATTTCGCACAGTTGGACGATCTGCCATGGCATTTGTATGGGAATGGAAGCTCGACGCCTTCTTAACCCAACATTTTGACCTAGTTTTGAACAAAAACCTTTATAAATCATGCTTTAGAATTTGTTCCTTTGAATCTCATGAGATTACTTGGCATTCTTCATATAAGTTTTTTCCAAGATAGGTCAGTGGGTGATCCCATCCGAACAAATCTACTGATAGTAAAATGCTGTTATTTTACTGTAAATGCCTCGACATCGCAAAATTCAACACCCATACGGACATGTCCGGTATGGAGAACGCAAATGGCTCCCCATACCGGACAGTGCTGGCTAGTTACGCTCATTTGCTTTATTCGAGGTTCGTGTACAAAGGAATGGAGATGTGAATGGTTCGAGGTTTGTGCCAAAAGGGACGGAGTTAAAGGCCGCCAATTAAGAGTCCTTGGGTTAGATGTTGTACGAATTCCGCCGTACCCAAATCGCTGTAGGTTCACATTACTTGAGCTCAGGGTGGGTGACAGTTCGTGGGTATGCATTGTCATAGGGATGGATGAATTTTGAGATAAAAGCCCATTGATGAAACTATGAGGGTCTGGATGGAGGGGGAGCAGGGGCGGAAATGTCACTTGTCAGTTAAAATTTTATCTATATGTCAGTTAAATTTTGGGCCATTTGTCAGTTGTCTGTTAGACTTGGGGCCATTTGTCAGTTGTCAGTTAACTATTATCTAAAGATCCTAAATGGCTTAAACCTCTCCAAGTGAGCGGCGTCGACCAAATCAGGATCGGAACGGACCAAGGATCGAACAAAAAAGTTTTGAAAAAGAAATCAATCAATTAAGATCAAAAATATAATATGTTAATTGTTATTAGAAATTTTGCGTGACAAGGTAAAATAAAGCATAATGAATGAAGGGGGAAATTTCTGAAGAAACTGTGGTGCTGCGTGATGGGAAGGTATAGAAAGGTAACTAGGTATTATTAACTGAGAGACTGTAAATTGGCTACCGCTGAGATTTTCAAAGCTGACGTTTCGAGTGTTAAATATCAAAGCGAATAACGGAGGAACATTTCGCTCTTTAGGAAGGGCTAACGCTCGAAACGTCAGCTTTGAAAATTTTAACGGTGACCAATTTACGCCATCAACTTAGTTGATAATACCAAAGTACCTCAAAATAGAGTTTGCGTGACATAATGGAGCGCAGGCCCCACTGGAAGTTTTTTTTGTTTGCCCCAAAACTTTATGTAGTCACTCACGGCTGAGGAGTGTTTTGTACTGCCGCCATGGACGAAGGCAAGCGAGAGGAACGTATCATTTCATCAGCCAGTTATTATATCGTCACACAGCGCGTAACGCTTTAATAAACTAGACGCATATTTGCGTTCACCCAGGCTTTCTGTTGGGAATAAACTTCGTTTTTTTCTGCTTGCATTTGCTTAAGTTTTTTAATGCAATTCTGGGTTTATCCTGTAACTGTTTTTTCTCTTGGTATGCCAGAGATGCAGGTTTCTCACATATGTATACAGAGCTGAAAACAGCATTTGTTATGTAGTGTGAAGACCCTTTTCTGGGGTGGGGTGGGGGGAGGTAGTGCCATATATAATTGGCTACTATTTCAATGCTTACTACTAGACACTATTTTCATTTTTTTTTAAGTATCAACTTGATTAAATTTTGTTTTGCGGGTTAAGGGTTGTAGCAGGGTAAGTCTTTTGCCAAACAGGCTGTCTTCTTATGTTTTCTTTTTCTTGGTTGACAAAAGTTTCAGGCAAAGATAGCTTTTAATTATGAACAGCCCCAAGTGCTAGGGTGATGACACTTAACCAAAAGAAAACAAAAAGTCGCTACCAAAGTTTATTACCAGATGAACTATTAATGTTATGGGGTTGTTGGGATAGTTCTCATGAAAGTGTGAAATATACTTTAGCATATTTTGTACTATTACCTCCCAATTTGTTTGTTTCCATTTGGAGTTACTGAGCTAGTATGCTTTAGTTGCTATATTTTGGTTTATTGGTTAGAGTGGTTTCACCAAACCTGGTGAGTACTAATCAACTGTTACTGTTTAGAGTAATTTTCATTTTCCGTGAAAGAATAGGGTGATTAATAGTTAGTGGTGTACTGTGAATTTTTTGTATTCTTTTGTTCTTTATTGACTACTACAAACTAAATGGTCATTTCTTTATTTCATGAGCGATTGAATATCACTCTAATAGATCTAAAGAAACAAAAAGTTAAAAAAAAGCATTGAGCATCTTAAAACATTAATGTAATTAATCAGCAGAACCCAGGCTTATTAAAATCACTCTAATCAAAACCAATATTTTCATTTGCCTTTGAATGAAAAATGACTATTTAGTTTGTAGCAGTTGATAATGAACAAAAAAATCAGAGTCTACTAACTACAGTAATTGCAAATTTTCATTTGCATATGAAAATTATCTAAATATTTTCATTCTGTATATATGCAGTGAGGAAAAAGGCATATTGTAAGATTAAAATAGTTTTAATATTTTTTTATATGACTTTATATCTACTGATTACGATGATAATATTTCAAGGGTATAGTGGTAGAAATTGTTGTCCAACAAGAACAATTAAATTTGTTTGTAAGGAATCAGTAGTTTGTCAAAGTTCAAATTATATTTGTGAATCATGTTCACATCTTATAAAAATTGACAACTGTAACAGAAACTTAACATGAAAGGAGAGTAGTCAAAGTGCACAATTCATCACTTAGACAAATGTGCAACAAACTAACAGATACTTGTTACTAAGAAAGTGTGTTTTTCGTACGTTAATTTTACATCATTGATAAATAGCAAATGTTCTGTCAATGTATCTTCATCTAATGTTAAAACGTCTGGTCTATCAAACAACTTTGAGAGAATTTCTTCTCCCATTTTTAAGCTAAATTCCTCATCATCAGTATTTTGTATGGTCACCTAAAAGATTACAATAGGTTGCAACAGCAATACACCCTACTGTTAAAATGAAATTGGTGTAGCTTTCAGATATGAGCAACTCAAAGGCTCTTCGTAAAGACGCACAGTACTGATATCCCTCTATAGCAATTTCTTGGTGAACAGTACCAGAGTAGCTTTCACTGTATTCCAGATAATCAGTATCAAACACATTTAATGCTGTTGGTAATTCTGACTGCATTAAATATGCCTGTCTAGCTAATCGTAACAAACATGAAAAAAAGCTGATTTCCAATATTCATTATTTGAATAAGATCATTTGCAGAGCTGATCCTTTGTGTGCTATTGTAAATAAAAGAACACACTCATTGCAACACAACATTACTGTTTTGTTAAGGTTAACATATGTGGGAGGGCCAGGATTTTTTTCTATGACTCTACTTAATTTATAGTTGCTGCAGCAATAATTTGCTACATAAGCCTCACTCTTGCAAGAAAACATCAGTTTGTTACAAGAAAACAATGTTAAATATCGACTGGCACGATATTTTACCTTTCTTATACTTTGACGAATTCTTTCACGACAGTTAAACTTAAATATCCTCTTATTTAGTAGTTTTTTCGCACTAACATAACAGTACAGTGTAGATGACAAGGGAATACATGAGAGAATACATGCGTAGTCAAATTTTCTAACCTTTCTGCTCTTGTTCCTTAACCTTTTCAAACTTCGTATTGATATTCTGCTTGGTTCACGATCACGTCTACAAACACGATGAGATTTGCGTCTATTCTCTCGATTAACATTAGTTCAATTGATAAATAGAGAATAATACATGGACGCGCTTAGATATGGAATTTCTCTTCCAGTGTTTAACTCGATAGCTCATGAGTGAGCGCAGCGAATGAGTGAGATGACGAGTTGAACACGAGAAGAGAAATTCTATATCTACAAGCAACCATGTCCTATTTTGTTTATCATATAAACACAATAGCCCTCAACTGGGAAGAAAAGCCGACTTCATTAATAAATGAAAATAAACGGATGGACAATCCTCGAATAACAATCGCAGAGTGCGTTGGCGCCAACTCTTAAGATGGAAATATGCGTTGAATCATGATTACAAAAACAACAATGGTCGTAATTTTCAATTTACAAAATTCTTATTTATTTACTTTGTCCTTAACAACAGCAGAAGTCTTTCAGATAAACGGCAAAAATCGGCTGGTGTCCAATCTTCTAGTTGTCGATTTTCATTCTCAGCCGAGAGAAATGCTAACACCAAAGCCACCGAATACGCAACTTTCGGTTTTTCTTTTGGTATATTGGTTTTCTTCCCCTTCTAGACAAGTTTGAACCGGTGATACGGATTTTTTAGTGTTTCAGTCGCCATAATTCGAGAAAGCTCTGACAAACAACTTCTATTGAGAATCGTGAAGGCTTTGTCGTTCATTCATCAACCTGACCGAGTGGCGCCAAAGGCGTATGACGTGTAAGCAGCTGATTGGCTTTATCAACACACCTAATTAAAAATAAAAAAAAATTTTAAAAAAATTTTTTCAAGTGTGTTGATACGGCTTTTCTCAGGGCCGCAGTTTATGTGATAAAGCCTGTTTCTCGATGAAAGGTTCACTTATTAATGCTCGTTCATAAAGAGATCTCTCATAAGGTTCGTGGACCGACCCGTTCCGAAAACGCTCGACATCTTTTAGTGTGGGTCTACCTCAAACGATGTGTGCATATTTTGTATGCGTTTTGAGCGTATTATACACAGTCTCTGTGCTGATTTTGCTCCGCGAAAGCTTCTCTTCGTCCGCCATTAGACCATGCCGTGTGCTCATTAGTCAAAACGTCGCACATGCGTGAGAGTCAAAAGGTAGCGCATGCGTGATAAGGACTTGGCTGCGATTTGCGACCGAACGAAAAAGAAACGAGGCCGGAATTTGAACTCAGGCGTTTCCTCTGGAAAGCCCGAGTAATAAATAGTTTGCTTTTTGTCGAAGTGTGAGCTTGGGATACCTGTGTTTCCACAAGCATTTTTTGATGCCATGATCAAAAACGGCCGCGGATGAGGCAGAGGGTCAAGGCCCAAGGTCCAAGGTCGATTTTGTCTGGACCAGGCGTGATAAAGTAAGGTGCATAAACACGTTTTGGAACACCACACCTTGAACGTTCAAAGTGAATACACTCCATGTATTTCATAACCGGGTAAATATTCCATTACATTTCATACAGGAAAGCTGCTAAGCAAACACTTGTTAACTATAATACTACCATGGAAAATAACATTATTGTCATGCCCGATTTGTACTGAAACAAATTAAGGCTGTGATTACCAATGACGAACGACTGCATGTGTTGCGTTCCTCAATCATGAAAAACGCGGATCCAAAAACGCTAACTTAATCACTAGCCAAAATGCTCCAAACAAGCAGTTCTGTTTTTATTTTTAAAAACTATATATAGTGGCCTACATTAAAAAACTTAGACTGCTTAGTTTATCTGAAATACTCTACCTTATATATGAGTCTGTCCTCCGATAGATCTAATCAAATGCGTGTGCAATATTCAGCTTTATTACACCCGTTTTGAAATCACTAGTGTTCTTTGTAATCTGATTGGCTCTAATTGGTACAATTTATTCACAAATTGCACCATTTTTTGCTTTAAATCGCATCTTTTCCCAGCCAATGAGCAGGTCACACCAAAAACAAAACTTTCCAAAACTCTTATTTTTCCCCCCAGAAAATGGATGAATTTAATTTCAAATCAGCTCAGTACTGCATCAATAAAATATAAGAACTGACCAAGTCCAGTTTTTGGGCGATTTTAAAATGGATGTAATAAAGTGGTAATTGAACCTCATGTCGTGCAATTTTGGTCTGAAATCATACTTTTGATTCAAATTGAACTCACATTCGTTCGATTTTGAAATCATGCATATGATTGCAGCCAAAATTCCACTCCACTTATTTCAATTACCATTATTAACACACCAAAAATGTTTTAAAAAGGCTATCAATAAAAGGCCGTAAATCAAGGTTAAAATAATCACTAGATTCTTAAAATTAATAGCCAACTGGAATTTCTTGGTAACCAGCAAAGTTATCTATACTTTCCACCTAGTGGCCGTCTGTTCTCCCAGGTTTTGATATGAGTAATATCAAAGAGATATTATTATTCAAAACAATATTTTTCTGCTAAGTCTCTCCGCTGTACCAAATTGTGGACTAATGCATTATACAAAGTTTTATAGTCTGCATCTTCCCCATTTTTTGATTTCCACAGATGCAGTATTTGATATCCCTTCTTAGACAAAGACTTAAAATCGTGATCAATTATTGCTATGTCTGCTCTCGTAATTTCAAGTCGACGTGCCAGATCATCCCATTTGTCAGCAATATATTTGCCAAGTGTTTGAAGGTCATCATCAGTTACTACTCCCTCTTGAATATAAAAACAAATGGAGAGATAATTATTTTAAGATTACCAGCTAACTTGTTACGTACTGTGACTCAGTAACAATTTTGAAATCATTCATTGCAAGTAATCTTTTTCAGAAGGGGGGGGGGAGAGAAGAGCAAAGGCTTTTTTCTGTCATGCTGAAGATTTTCTATCAGATGTTGTGGAAGCAGGGTGGCCAAGTGGTTAGTCTGGTGGTCCTGAGAACAAGCCCTTCAGCCTGCCACTCAATGGATTGTTCTTAATGGTTCCCTGAGTTCAACTCCTTGGCTGTTCTTTGTATATAGCTAACTGCTGCCTGCCTCCTGCCAGTTGGGGTTTTTACACCCTGTTTTTATTTACAATGTTTGGGACCAGATTGTTTGTATTTATCCTGAGGTGATCGAGCCCTGTTGGGGAAGACTGGTCAATTTCAAAAGCATACAAATACATATCCACATACTCATTACCCATATTATCAGGTATAATATGTTGAATAAAACTGATCAGAGTTGATTTACATTATGGCAGCTAGTGGGGGTATAACTGATTGTGAGTCAGTAACAATTTATCACAAAAAAAAATCTATTTTGGGAGAGAGATTTAAGGTTCTTCAAGTCTGTAAAGAAATTTTATCAACTGAAAATGTAACTTTCCTTTTGTCCTTACCCTTAAACTTCCTTGTCTTACTAGTGCTGGATACCCCAGAAGTTCCAGGTTCTCCAATAGGATCAATTTTAGGTTTTTTTGCAGCTGAGCCACTTTCCTCCTCTTGCTTAACTTCAGTGGAGCCAGAAGCTAGTATGTGAGTAAGAGAGATGAAAAGGTTAGGGTAAAAATGTGATATTTTTTGTGCTTGCATTTCCTCCTGCTAACTGGTTTTTCTGAAGAACTTAGGTCTAAGAGATCTAGCCTGCAGAACAGGAATAATTTGTTGCGTTTTTCAGGCAAATGAAGATAAGTCATGCACAGGGTAGGAGTGCAAATAATAACTCCTCCCCTTGACTTCATGCCTGCCTCATGCTTGCCTCAATTCTACTGAAAAAGGCAAAAGAATTTACACCTGTTCTTCAGGCTAAGATATGGATCCTGGTATTGCAAGCTTAGACAATAAGTGGTTCATTTTGATCTAGTGAAATAAAATTTACCCAATAACTGCCATTAGTTAAAAACAGCAGGCTCTTCTAGTCAGTGGCAATGTATTTTCTCTAACACTCTTAAGTGGTGGCCTAAGTTATTTGTATTCGCCATTAGCATGATTACCATCAATATAATGATTTGTTAAAATGTTGATTTTTGTTTATTACTTTATAGTCCAAACTTATTATTTATATAATAGCTAACATCTTATAGTTCTTCACACAAACTATTACAATTAAAAGAGACATGCCTGTTTCAGGTTCATACAACCTTACTATAACTATATCCAGTTGATTCTGAGATAAATATGTTCAAATATTAACAGAGCTATTAAAATTAAGAAGGCCTTTAAGCACTATATACTGTTCAAGAATGATTCTCTTTTGACAACTTATTTCACAATTACATTGACTTAAACCTTTTCTCTGTTTCCAGGAAACAAAAATTGGCAAATGAAAAGTCTCTGGTACCTTCTTTACGCTTTTGAGAGGGTGACTGAATGTCTTCTTTAGCTGGGTTGTCTGTCCCTTCTGGATTCTCTTTTACTTCTGTCAAAAGAAGAACTTTTCATAGTCAGAATTGCTTTTACAAATTTTATTTTTAAATATAAGTGACTCTTGCAGTGACATTAACACAGCCTCTTGCAATACTTGGTTTGGTAATTAAATGTCCATGCAAGATTAAAATTTGTTAAGTTTGAGAGGGAAAAGGTGGGAATGAGAGACCAATTTGTAGGTACATGACTGTATTCTAAACAATTCCAAGTTATGTGTTCACCTTTACAAAACAAAAATCCATGGTTATATACAGACTAGCAACTTAGTTTGTACTTTCTCTGAATTTGGAGGCTATTAGATCATGCAGTAGTGTATGTTTTTGAGATATTGTATTATATCGCCGTTCGAACCGCCCTTCCCAAAATGCTATTACCAATGCGACTTCGTAATTGGTATATATAAATGACTTATCATTATCCAGCAGAATTCATTCATCAAAATAGCTATTTCTCACTTCGTATATAGAAACATCCGTCGCAACTGCTTGAGAATTTGTTCAAAATAAATTTATTCTCAGTGTATCGTAATTCGGTGGAATCAGCTAAGGCGCTCGTCTGTAACCAGTTGTCGCGTTCTGAGTGCAAACCCACCCACGAATGTTTATTCCATAGCTTTATCATCGGTGAACATGCTGTTCTCATAACCTGGCTCATTCATCTCGCCATTTATACAAAAGCTAATAAGTGCTACTCGCTTATTTTAATGGTGTTGTGTTACAGTATGATTACCTGTCACGACTACGTCTTGCTCTGACTCGTATGCAGAATTTTTTATGAGAAACCGGATTCGCTTTTTGTTTCGATATTTGTCGAATCATCGATCAATGTTCACCAAATTGCTCGAAAAAATGGAACGGAAAAATTAACTTCTGGATACATGTAGTTCATATTTGTTTAAAACTCATCGGTGCGTAAACACTGAAGTGGGCGCTGACTGCAATGAATGAAACAGAACACCATTCACATTGTTAAAAACTATATTTTCCTTCTGATCCTAGCCGAAGATGATCGAGGTAGGTTTGAAGTTTCGAAGAAATCATCACCTGCGATGCAAACACCAAATTGTTTACATTCCGCGACGTAAACATCTGAGGCTGATTGAAGTGAATAAATTAAGAAACCTATTAGTATTTTTTTCGTTACTCGCTCGATGAAACTCGTGTTTCGATGCATTGAGTAACTGACATTTTCCTTCCCAGTTGATTCATCAACAACTCAAATCAAGCAAATCTACTGCTACTGCTCGTTAGCCAAAAAATTCGCGAAGCGACGCGACATGCGTGAGTGTAACATGATAGCTCTTTTCATTATGTAGATTTTCCGTTGTCTATTCGCCGCTTTTTCAAACCTAGAAGTCCTTTGTTTCATACAACACTGAAATACAAAAGAAACTTATAGCACTGAATAACAAAGGTACATGAATCGGGCAGTTTTTTCGACCGTGCGCGCAAAAAAATCGTATATACCAGGGCGTGAAATTGCGCCTGATACAGGCGCCAATGCGCCTAAATTTTTCACTTTGGCGACCAAATCCTGAAAGTTAGTCGCCAAATTGGCGAATAGAACGTTTCATCATAACCTTACCAAGAGATATAGTGAATTAAAAAGATTTGCAAAGATAAATCCGCGGCAAACTTTCACTTTAAGTTTGTTTCCAAAACGTAGCACATGCATCTCGATCGATAACTAGACGCCATCTTGGATTTAGATGAGCCTGAACGTTGTATATCATCCATCCTAATGTCCACTTTGTAGCACGTTACTGATCTTTTCCCTAACTTAATTTTGGAGGGTCTATCTAGAACGCTGACAGCATAAAGATAAATTTTGTTTGTCTTTGAAAATGGCGACCAACTTTTTTTGAATTGGCTACCACTTTGAAGAATTTAGGAGCCAAGTGGCTATCAGAAAAAAAAGTTAATTTCACGCCCTGTATACGCGTCTGACCACCCTGCGTCGGAGCGTATGAAATTCGTCTGCACAGTTAACGTCTACGCGAGCGGTACTGTAGCATAAAGAAAGCTAACAGCTAGCAAGGTATGTCATGATATGACATTTTCTTCTCTGGAAAATTGAAAAATAACCATACAAATATCATTAAAAGGAGAAATGATCGATAAACTTGAGGTTTTATTTAAAGAAAAAGTTGTCTGACCTTCAAAGATCCTCTCTTCCTGACTGTCTGATGAGCTGCCATCAGTGTTTGTAGCTGTATTAAAGGAAAAAATACTCATTACTATCCAGCCAATGGCAAAAAAATTTCACAACAAAGGTAAAAGGAACATGAAAGAGGGTGATGCTTGGGAGAGCTTCTTTTCCATGTTTTAGCCTAAAATTCTTAGTACATGAAAATATCCAGACAAAGAACACTCCATTAAAGATTCCCTAAACCTTCCCAGCCCAACGTACAAGTATAGTTTGCATATGAGGGCCCCATGGCTTTCCAAATCAAAATGGACTTGTGATCAATTGTATTAGGGCTAGTTTTGGTAAAACAATTTTAGACAGTCAGAAATTTTACTGTTACTTCCATACCAGATTTTCATGACTAATTAATACTCAAAATCATATACATCCCTACTTATTTAGGATGGTCAGAGACAAATCAGGAAAATTACAACTGTTTCTTTTCCTCAACATGTCCCAGTTTTTTTCAGAATTCATTTAGGGTGTATCAAAGCTTCCATTTTTCTTGAAAGGATATTGGTGATGTATAGATGCCAGTTTTCACTTAAAACAGCCCCTAAATTGCTTTGCTAGAGTCACACAATTTTCAACATTCAATTGATAGAATCTGGGGCTCATGTGTTTGCAGTTTTTCTGATATACTGGCACAGTCTGGGGTGGTGAAATCCTCTACCATCTGGTAATGATTTTTCCAACTACTGATAGCTAGCATTTTACCATCCCAAGTGAAATGTCAGGCGGGATATAGGCGGGATCCCACCCAGGATCCCAGGTGAGAATGGTGGGATCCCACCTTTCCCACCTAGGATGAAAATTTGATCTTACCTGGGATCCCGCATTTAATACAAGATTCCTGCATCCCACCCGGGAATTTAGGTGGGACTTATCAGTGCATTCTACCCGGGATCCTAGTTGGAATTCATATATCCTTCATTGGATTCTTTATCCCACCTACGAAAATATTGTTTTGCTGTTTTTATTCTTACAAAACATTTTTGTAAGAGTTCCAATACTTATGGATCATCCACACACTCCACAAATATTTGGCATGCGGACAAGACAGAGGTGGTTGCTGTTCCCTTTGAAAAAATATGAGACGCAATTGACTCTGTTGGCACCATTGCTAGTTCAGTGGAAAGACCGACTGAGGAATCGAGATGGCTAGCTGTGTTAGAACGTGTTGCTGAACGCTTGTTACGGTCAAGCCTTGTTGATTTGGGTACTGGTACACTAGGATCATCCAGTTATCTCTTATACTTCCTAATGTGATTGGCTTGTGCTGTTTCTCACCTTTGCCGTGAACATAACTCAAGTAGGTTTCGAGTCTTTCTTTCCTCGCCAACTTTCGGCCACAAATCGTGCATCCTTGTTCGATTCTTGTCGATTATTTCTACATAGAGTGAATTCGCATCATTATTTATATCATCATCAAAACATGGATGCAAGGTACCACCATCCAAGAGAAGAGAACCGGTCAGAAGAGACGCATTAATTTCGCGCGCTTCTGCAATCGGTTAAGCCAGCGGATTCTCTCTGCTAAAAGATGCACGTGGTCATGCCTGTGATCGGAAACAAAGAAATGTCCGTTTGGCGCTCGTCTTTAAATGTACTTTCCGGTTAATCGCTCTTGCTTCAAGTTGTTTCTGTTCTCAACTGTTTTGCTTAATATAACACTTCTAAAGATGGGTTTTATTGTGGTTCAATGGGAACACGAGAATAGCGTGAGTGTTGTAAATGAAAAGAAAGTCGTTGGCGCCGTGGAATTAAAAGAAGGGACAATTAACAGTTGACATATCGACTGGTTCAAACAACGATCGAGTGGCCATTTATAATGCTAGGATTTTGAAAGTTTTTGGTGAGTACAAATTGAGATATTCGTTACTTGATCAAAATCTTACCAAAGAATAGATATAACGCTTAAATTAAGTTTACCTAACTCGCGGCGCAACTGAAACTCGAATAATTCTGAGAATCGAATTGGTCACTTGCATGCTGCAGTTTCCTAAGCTTACACTTTACAGTGAAATAAATCTATCAGTAAGGTTTCAAGATTACTTTAGTCACATTAAGAAACATTCTAACCTTGCTTTGAAAAATTTGACTAAAGAGAGAGCAGAATTTAAATCACTACCTTCTTTGTCAAATTTTTGATTACAGGAGTTATTGAGGATTTGTCTTTCTTCTATTCTTTGATATACAATAGCCAATTTTTTCAACGTTGAGCCGTATTACACTGTAGATGGACTGCATAAATAATGAAGAAAAAGTAATATGCTGAGTTGTGCTGTTATTCTTTAAAAATGTTCAGTTAAGAAATTTGTCAATGAAACAACGTCAAACATGCTGGTTCATTGCCAATAAATTATGAGATCTTTATCACATACATGTATAGTCTGTGTATTCATGTACTGTTTGAATCATTTATGATCAACAGCTTGGGTCAGATGATGGGATCCCATTGGAGGTGTCTCAAAGGATTTTTCTTAAAGTGGGAAGCCATCTGAAATTTTAGGGATTGGCAGGATCCCAGATGCAATCCTGCCTGGGATATGATTAGCCAGGTGGGAAACTATCTGAAATTTGAGGCAGGATCTCAAGAGGGATTGGTGGGATTCTAGCTTTAATCCCACGTGGGATGTGCTTTCCAGGTGGGATGCTATTAGGAATTTAAGGTGGGATCCCAACTTCAATTGGCAGGATCCCATGCAGGATGTTCCATAATCCCGGGTGGGATTCCACCTGAAAAAGGCAGGATCCCACCCCGGACACACCTAGGATCCCAGGTGGGATTGGCGGGATCCCACCTTATATTTTTACCTGGGCATGAACGTGAGGCTCGAGCAAACAAATTCAAACTAGGCTCCCATGCTGAAACTAAAAATTTATTGCGCATTCAAGGTTCTGATGTGATGTAATTATGAACGAAAAATCAGCCCAAAAAATCAACCTCAACTTGACCTGACCCAAGCAATCCAAGAAATTAGCATAACAATTGCCTGAAATTAAAACCAAGTTTACAAAACCAGTTCTAATTGTGTTAGAGTTTCGTCAGTTTTCAGCACGTTCTTCATCGACAAAAAAGTTTAAAATAATAAATTTTACGTGGCTTAAACAGAAACCTACTGGAGCTGATTTCTATTGTATCTTCTGATCTGGAGGGCAGACATTTTTCCTTACAGCTTCACTGCTGTTTACGGTACTGAACTCTCATTTTCACTGAACGATTCCAGTAGCTTTGTCACCTGGCAAATGCTGTTTTCTTGTGTGGTCTTGTTTGTTATGCGTGTGGATTAATTATGTCATTGTGACCAAAAGCTTGTTAGGCTTGTGACACGAATATTGTTTTCTTGTTGTTAGCAACCAGAAAAGGACCAATGACATTGTAACTACAAGTTATCTTAGTTACCAGTGCTCCTCAAATTTGTATATTTTAAATCATGAATTGTGGTGATATAAACAAGTGCTTCTTCATTTAATTAATTTTCTCATGTGGTTAATTGTCTTTATTTCTATGCAATAACTGCAATATATAACACTTTCAAGGAAAAAAAGGGAAACAGAAAAACTTAGTTCAGCCAATTTAAACTGATTTATGAATGTCTTGATTCTAGTGTTCCTTTTAGATCCTAGTTTTCCCCAACTAGTGCTAACCATACCACTTATGTCTTTGAGAGAATAGTACTATGTGGCGATTGTAGACCTAGTACTTCAGTTGGATTGTATTATGCAAAATTGTTTATCTCTCTTTTAAAGAATGTTACAGCTGGCTAGTGCCATGCCATACACAACCAGCAAACACAACACAACTGTTGGCCAAATATGTCAATTGCCATTGCAACCAAAACAGTTGTGACCTAAAGCCCTGCTTGGTAGAAACCACAAATGATTCCTCAAGAGTAATGTCCCCACAGGTGAATTTAAATCATGATCATAGAACTTGAAGATTTAGTTTTAGCTAGTTTTAACTGATTTATGAATTTCTTGATCCTTGTTTCCTTTTTTTTTTAAAAATTCATTGTCACATCAGTGATTAAGGGCTGTGCCAATGCCCAGGAAAGTCACATTTTTCCTAATTAAATCCTGATTGGCCTTTTTGCTTTATTTCTGATTGACAAACCTCTGCAAGTAAGGTTATTTACAATGTTTGGAACCACATTTTTCATATTGGTCCTGAGATGAGCCCTGTTCTCGGAGACAAGTCAATTTTATAACTATACTAATAGATATCCACACACACATTCCTCATGTTATCAGGTATGATATGTTGAATGGAACTGATCATAGTTGACTTTTGTTGTCACAGCTAATGGGGGGTATAACTGATTGCAAGTCAGTAACAATTCATCACAAAAAAAACTATTTTGGGAGAGAGATTGAAGGTTCTTCAAGTCTACAAAGAAATTTTACATGATCAATCCTTAAAAGAATCATGCTACTGGATAATTAATCAACTTAAAATGTAATTTTCCTTTGTCCTTACCCTTAAACTTCCTTGTCTTACTAGTGCTGGATACCCCAGAAGTTCCAGGTTTTCCAAAAGGATCAAGTTTAAGTTTTTTGGCAGCTGGGCCACTTTTCTCCTTTTGCTCAACTTCAGTGGAACCAGAAGCTGGTATGTAAGTAAGAGAGATGAAAAGGTTAGGGTAAAAAAGCTTTCATTTTTCTTTCAAGGATATTGGTGATGTATAGATGCCAGTTTTCACTTAAAACAGCCCCTAAATTGCTTTGTTAGAGTCACACAATTTTCAACATTCAATTGATAGAATCTGGGGCTCATGTGTTTGCAGTTTTCCTGATATACTGGCACAGTTTGGGATGATGAAATCCTCTATCACCTGGTAATGATTTTTCCAGCTGCTGATAGCTAGCATTTTACCATGATATCAATATTGGTAAACAAAAAAGTACAACAAAAAAGAAACATACAACTTCCTTCCTGGAGATGCTTCAGAATTTGACTGATCAGTGTTCCTTTGTTGTAACCTTGTTTTTCATTTCCTTTGTGATGAACAGCAATGAGTGCCAGTCCCTCATAGGTCAGTACTGGTGAACCAGAGGAACCGCTCTCTGTATCGGCTTTGTAGAACACAAAGGGTTTCTTCACCTTTGAAATTTTTTCTTGAGAGAATTTCTTGGGTTCTCCTTTTGGATGCTGAATTATCATGACATTCACCCCCTTTTTCAATTCCGGCTCTGGTTCCATAAGTATGGGTTCAATGGCTAGTTTCAAACTATCAATATCTGCCTTCTTCACACCAACAAATGTATAGTCAAGTTCCTGATGACAACAAAATTCATCATAAGCACAATGTGAAATACCTTAAATGCTGACTATGGTAACTCCACAAGGTGATAACAGAGCATGTAACAGAGCCATAAAAATTTCAGAGAAATGGCTACACCTCTTTGCAAAGTAGTGGAGCAAACAAGAAACTTATCCAGAGGGTATAGGGTCAACTCCTGGGCCGGGTTGTTCAAAGCTGAGGTTAAGATAACCCAGGATTAGTGCAAAAATTTGATTTCAGATCTAAAAGCTTTCAAAGAAAATCCAGCATAATTTGTTTTGCCAACAATGTTGTGATTGGATGCTCCAATAAAGTTATCCCAAACAGGCTTTTGAACAAAAGAAATAACGAAACCCCAATTAAAATTTAGCCTTGGGTTAGTGCTAAGCAGCGGTTGGAAAACTGGGTCCTGAAGGAAACCTTTTTCAAATATCTTTTTACAGAAATGATTGTACTGCCTATAAAACCAAAAATTTCACATTGTGGCACAATTGAAATGTGTCAAATGGAATTGTCCAAGAAACCCACAAGTGACGAAGGCTGAAAGCAAATGATGAACCACCAAAATTAATGTTTTTTCAAGGCTCTCTCCAATTAGCCGTGGGAACCAAGCCTAGCAAACTTGATCAATCCAAATTGGGGATGAAACTGTGAAAACAATTGGAAAGCCAAAATCCAAACTTACAACAGTAGGTCATCAGTTTACATTCTCCTTGATCCAACTCACTGGATGAAATCACCTGTATCACTCTAAATTTGCATTTTATATTCCTACTGGTGAACCTTTGCCATGTTTTAAACTACCAAACTTCCCTATGGAAGGCAACCTTCAGGAAGTTGCATGCTGGAATATTCCCTCTAAACTGAGGAAATTTTGAAAACCCTCGAATGCAATTTGCATTGGATCACATGCGCATACGTACTAACCTTTTCAGTACGAAACATTACTTTTGGTTTTAATTTAACTTTCTCTCCTTCTCCTGGTCTGTCATAACCGAATGTGACGATCGCATTTTTGGCATCGGTTTCTGAGGGAAGCACGTGGTTATTAGTGACCACCCCATAAATTTCACTGCAACCTCTCTCACTTGGCGTATAAAGCTTGGATAGGAAACCGGTACCTCGCCTGAAATTTGGGAAGAGTCGAGATAAGTCAATATGCGCAACTCAAAGTCTTGAGAGCAAAAAAGGATACTGAAAATTCTACTAAGGAAACGAAATTCATAACAATGGTACGAAAGCTTACTTTCGTTGCCTTTTGCCTGATTTTGAGTCTTCGATAACAATCTCGATGCGACACACCGCGTTGATTTTATCCGTGAGAAGTTTGGTGTCCTGAAGGCCATTACCTTCACTCAATATAACTTCATTTCGCTCTGTGGCGGCCATAGTACAGATTTCAGCGAGGTTGCGAGGAGAACTAGAAATTTCCACATACCTTCATACTTCATTAAGCATCCATATATGGGGCTTTATCATTCAGTGTAGCACCAATAAGATGTGCATGCATGTTTGACCGTGAGAACTCTGGATACAGAATAGTTTCAACGCTGGTAAGTAACTGTGTGTTCTTACTAATTCTTTTAACATCCGTGCCTTATCTTTGCTAATTTCGACGCTGATGTTTACTTCAGGAAAACCGTTGTCCGAAAATGTAGATTTCTTTCATTTTCATTCCTAAAATGTGCACATAATTCTCGTAATGATCTCGAGCTGGAAAGTGAGTGGGAACCGGAGAAAAGTACGTGTGGAGAATCCGACGAAAGGTACATAAATTACTCTTTATGGCTTTCATATTTCATTAGGAACTGAAATTGATCGTTATTACTAAAGCAAATTTAGCATTATTGATTAAGATGTGCACTATTTGTTTACGAATACAATAAATCTACGATCTCAACACTTAAGTCATTTGTTTATTCTCACTTGAATTGAAACCAACATGAATGCTTTGCTGGAGACTAGTCTCACAAGGCTTAAAACAACATGAAACCACTAAGATAAGTTGTGCATGCCAGCTAAAAACACAATTTTCAACTTAAACCAGATTTTTATACTAATGATGTTGTGTTCTGTTCATTTACCTTAACACCGTTTTCAATCCTTTCAAGCATGACGTTATCCCCTTTCGCCAACGGCAAAAATTTCACTTCTGTCATCAGGCATTTGTAAAACGAAAATAAGTGGCTTCGTCTTTGTCGTAAAGGTGTCATTTCTCCCTACTTTTCTGAGAGAATTATTGAAGAATCCAACGACAAATCAACGACGTGAAACGCTTCCCGCCGTGAAACGCCATGCTAAAAATTTCTCTATTATCGGTAACTGTTGGCAGTGCATGAATTCACAGGAAAAAGTCACATCTTGTGATATGATAATGATAAATGTAACAGAAACCTCATTCATACCACTTTCGTTTTAGTAACGATAGTTGTTCTAAATTTCCAAAGTTGAAGTAGCACTTCGGTACAAACGGGCTCTTTTTCTCTCATCAAAATGTCGACAACCTCTTCACTTAGATATGCAGAGCTTCTTCCTCTCTCTCAGTATGGCATACGCTTGTCGTCTTCGTAATACTTGTTAGATTCCTAGAAAGAGAACATCAACATATCACACCTTGCATAGCGAAGGTTCCAATTCCGCGCCAAGTAACGAAAAGCCCACAAGATAAAAGCAAAACGAAAATAGATGTATACTGCTTTTTCAGTCTGACAATACGCATGAAAACTGTTGATAAATAGTGATACGAAATGCCGAACAAACTGGTGGAAATTGACACAGTCTGTTATTTAATTTACTGGATGGTAGTGAATTTTTAACGTACCTTTTTAAGCCTTGAAAAAGTGCTCAAAATGGAAATATTTTAATCACGCAAAAATCATAATGGAAGCGATTATGAGTAAAAATCCAATTCTTGGAAAAGCAATGAAGTAATCAACCAAAACTTTCTGGACACCACAGAAAAGCTAAATACACTTCTTTCTTCCATCAAGAAAGGAGAGTTCTGCTTTCAATCAAAATACATTTAGACATACCTGCTCAGAATCATCCATACTGATCATCGATTTCACTCTCATCACTACTGGTGATTTCGCTTTCATGGCTACTGGTGATGATACTTTCATCATTACCGTCAACTACCTCCATGAAGTTTACTTTCCATTCTGTTGCTACAGTGCCCTCGTTGCTTTCAAATTGTGTTGCTCTGCGCACAAAGCCAAACTCCTCCACTTGTCTTTTCCTGCAGCAAGAATAAAAGGTTTGTTTAACAGAGTGAAACCTTGTTAAAAGATTATAACAACCAGCCATCAAGTAACTGCTGTTGTGGGGTTTTACAACATTGGGCGGGTCAACAATAAAACAAATTGTACACAAACAATAAACCTTTTCATGAAAGCCAACTGTAGCTGCCACAGTTGGGGACAAATGTTTAACTGCTTTCAGGAGTTTTTACACTACTTAGAAAACTGATGAAATAAGGCTAGAAACATTGTGTCAACGTCAGTAGCTCTGGTATAGCTTCCTCCATAGGTATCAATCAATAATGGTTTACTCGAACACTTAGTTTTTCTGTTACTATGTGTCAATTTCTTTCTGTCATGTAACTCCTAATATCACATGTTGGGAGTTAGTGAATACTCGTATCATTTTAATGTAATGTACATTCCTAGCATACCCCTTCTGTCTTCTAGCATCTGGTGACTGAACTGGGCTGCTATCAACCTATTAAGGTAAAATAGAATATCGATCCGTGAGCAAATGTAACACTAAGAAATGTTTGTTACATGCATGCACAAACAAGCTCTAACAACATTTGGGATTCATCCAACCGTGATGCCAATATTATAAGGAAAAATGCAATGGTCAAGAAAGAACACTAAACACTCACGATATTTCAACAAGCTGTGAAAACACACCTGTTGAGACGTGAATGAAGTTGATTTCAATGCCAAATCACCTTCACTTTGCCTGATAACACTGGAGAAAAAATGAGGAGAAATGAGAATGGGAACAGTGGAACTGTAATAAGTCCTGATAACTTAAAGAAAACTAGAAACAGTCAACTTATTATAGTAAATCACTCCGAGTCCCACATCCCCGGGTCCCACGTCCTTGGGTCCCACGTCCTCGGGTCCCACGTCCCCGGGTTCCGCGTCCCCAAGTCCCGCGTCCCCAAGTCCCACGTCCCCGTTCTACTTTTAGTCACAGCCGCCCCCGAGCTTCAAATCACTTCAAATAACATCGTCTTTTCTTTCTCTTTGTAGTCGCATCGGATATAAGGCTTTAAAAAATGTTCCAGCTTCAGGATTGAGTTGCTCTTGCCAAAACCTTCGGCGAATTCTTTTTTGGGAGGTTGAGGTGAATTTCCAAGTCATGGCTCACAACTGTCTTTGGCCTTTTTGCTCTCCAAGTCTGTTGTACATGGTATGTAGGCATGTGTCTTAACAACGCTTATAGTCTCGCCTCAATCATCTCCGGCTTTATCTTATTTCGTTGCTGTATTATGGTGAGAATTTTTCCACTTGCCTTTTTGGGCTCCAAGTGCTAACTAGAGGATTAACTTCGGCAAAACTCATTTATCACATGGCCCCCAAATCCCTCACCACTGTCAGTTTATTTTCTATTTATTTAGCTTTCGGTCCAACCAGTTCATTTACCTCAGAAAAGTGCTCCTGAGTCTAAACTGGTGCCGTTTTCCTCATGTTCATGTGTTATTCGAAACGAATGGCGTCAGCTTCATTCTGTTTTGTTTATCTCAGTAGAATACTTCTGCCATACGAAATGAATTTTTAGTCGACGTGTATCATGAAACTTGCAGACTAAAATTATCAAACTTCTCTGGTTCTTAAAATACGAGACGAGTGCTACTACAAATGGATAATTACTCAAGGGGCTGGAACTCCTTGTTTCTTTAGAATGTTAATTAAAGTATTTCTGTCATATTTTAAAAACGAATTTCAGGTTAAAATGTCTTCAAACCAGTTTGACTTGCATTTCACTTCGCCAGAAATGTCTTGAACCTTCAGTTTTTATTTCTTAATCGAGACTGATGATAGGAATTAACTTTTATGTTTTTTGCTGTTTAGGGAGATACGAAATGACCCTACTACATATAGTTGGTACTATTGACGGAATGGATAGGTGTGACATTTACTGTGGCAAGTTGGTATTCACTGAAGAGAATGTCATTAGTACCAGAAGCTTACTACTGGCATTAATTATCAATCTTTTGTTCTCTCCATGCAACTTGCCTCAACTAGCTTATGCTATATGCAACTTGTGTCTATATCTTTTTTGTAAATTGTAAAATTGTCAATAAAGTTTTTCAAAGTTTTGTCCAAATTTAATTGGAAAAGAATACGAGGAGTGAAATATTGTCATGTTCCTTAAGAGTGTTTGACCTTCCATTGAGAACTATAAGTTTCTTAAGTGACTGATACATGATTTGCCTGCCTGAAAATTGGCACAGCCAAACCCCTGGTTAGAAAACTATACATTTCCTCAAATAGGCATCCAAGCCAATACAGTTACTGCAGAATATGCACTGTCAAAGTGCCCTTTTGACTTGAGTCTCATTTGTCTAAAATCTGATGGATGTAAATCATCCATTTTCTCAAAATTAAGGAGATCAACAAACCTCTCCACATAAGTTTCATCTGACCTCATTTAGTCTTGTTCCCAGGAAAAAAAAGGCTTTTGGAAATATTTTGTTTTTTATCCTCATTGTTAAATATCAGCCCTACTGGTTCTTTCTTGTGTGGCATGTAATAAGAGTCTTTTCAGACTATCGAATTGTCACATAACTCTGGTAATATAATAGATTGGAGAAAAAGGTTGCAAAGAGTGTACATCATTTTGTTGTACAGTTGAATTGATATATGAATATGATTTTATTAAGAAATAATTGATTTATTTAACTATTCATATTACAACTGGAAGCCCAAACTGGTACAGATGCTAGTACTTGTTTTAATTCAAAATTCCCCCACATCATTGATCGTATCTGATGATATTTTTGAGACTAACGATCGAAAAGACTTTTCCTTGCTCTGATAAAGTCCATAATTATTCCTCCATTTCTAACAAGCTCTTTGATGTAACTACAGTATCTCTAGTGCTAACATAGTCTTACTTTTCTTTACTCGGCATTGGCTTTCTTTGTTTTGGTAATCGGCCAGTTGTGATTCGTGTCAAAAGAAAACTTTTGAAACAAAACGTAAACTTCTGCAACGGTAAACTTTAATTTTTCACTATAATTGGAAGTACATTGTACTGACAGTACAGTTGAAGCTCTAAAAACGCCTACAGGAGAGTGAGTACTTCAAACGATCAACCATAACTTGAGATAGCAGAGACACGATTAAAGTGTACAATCCAATTCGTTTGTGCTTTTCGACAGGCCCCTTGCGTCCTTCACAAATAACATCCTCTACATCGATCGCCCAAACAATCACAAGACAAGACTCGAAGCCGTTTGTACAATCTTTTGCTTTTTGAAAATAACTTCCTTCAACACATCACAAAACAATTTTAATATTTAGCCGCTTCTAAGTTACAGGGGGAAAAATGGCAAGAAAGGTTGTCTCAAACACTCAACCCATTGTTGTTTTCCGACGTGTTTTTCTCCTTCTCTTCTTCGTGATTCTGGAGTGGGAAACGAAGGCAGGCGCATACCAGCGGTTTCTCACATCAAACTGAAGGTTACAGAACACGGGCAATAGAATGCCCCTTTGCTGCATAGCATAACTTTGTAGCGTTTTGTTGTGTCTTTCGTTGCAGTCATGTCCTCACACCTAATAACCAATAGAATGCGGTCTTATTTATTTGGTCTTGTACCTTTAGCTGATAGGATCTTAAGAGGCTTAGAAAATACTACCGGCTAGAGGTACAGCTTACATATTTAATTGACTTTGCTTTGAATTTTGCTTTTTGGCATTCCATTTAGTCTTACACTATATTATAATCATTTTTTTCGTGAATATCTTCTTGTTTCTTGGTCATGTAACTCTAGCCGCAAAGATCTTAGATGGCTTAAAAAAATACTACAGGCTAGAGGTACTACGTGCATTTAAGTTGAATTTAGCTCATTTCATTTATTTCTTGATTTATGGAAAGACCTTTCTACATTCCATGTTAGTCTAGTACTGTTGTGGTATAGGTATATTTTCATGCTTTGCAATCTTGTTTATGCAGCTAGTAGGATCTTGGATTACTAAGAACACACCACCAGCCAGAGGGGCAGCTCATGTGTGTGAAGTAAGCTTGAAATTATTAACATTGTTATGTTTTAAATGAATTTCAAGTTAAGAAATTTAAAATAGCCTGATTTGTATTTTCTTTGGTTGTGGATTAATTTCAATACCAACATAACCACTTTTAGATTTGACTTGAAATTCATTTTAAACTTGAACATGTCCACCAGATTTACTGAAGTTTGTCATGTAATACTCTGCCTAAGTATGAGTGGAATTTCTTAGAAAAGAACAGTCTATTTTCATGATATTTGTGTTTGTTTGGAAGTATTGTTGACAAGGCCAACCATTCTCTGAAATACTAAAATGAATTCATCTTTAAGTAGTCAAATTGACATTTTTGCTTTGTATTTTTCAATGATATTGAACAGCATGTAGGACTGTATGAAAACCTTAGGGCAAGTTATTCTTGAAAATATAGAGTGATCATCTAGACAACTATATATATATATATATATATATATGGGGTGGCTATATGGTGGTGGCTATATGGTGGTGGCTATATGGTCTTACCTCCATCCTAGCATCAGCACTGCACTGATGAGGCCCAGAAGGCCGAAACAGTACTGTCTGCAGTTAGATATAGCTCTTTGGCATACAAAGCTTTGCTTTCATGTCCAAATTGAGCACTCTACTAGGATGAGTCATTGCTGCTAGCATTATGCATGCTCACTAGTTTATCTAGTTTGAGCACTCTGGCATGGCTTAGATGATCCCACATATGTGAGATCACTTGGGGTGGCTATATGGTCTTACCTCCATCCTAGCATCAGCACTGCACTGATGAGGCCCAGAAGGCCGAAACAGTACTGTCTGCAGTTAGTTATATATATATATATATATATATATATATATATATATATATATATATATATATATATATATATATATATATATATATATATATATATATATATATATATATATATATATATATATATATATATATATATATATATATATATATATATATATATATATATATATATATAACTAACTGAATATATATATATATATATTTTAAGATGAAAAACCTATATTTAAGAGGTTTAAACCCCTGAAGAGTGAAGCGATTCATGAAACAGGCTTGTCGGGAAATGTAGTTGCGTCCCTTTTTCCCTCTCATAATATTTATTCTGCTCTGCTTCAACGTATTGAGCACTGTTCCACGCGAAAATCGACTTGCAGATATATATATATATATATATATATATATATATATATATATATATATATATATATATATATATATAACTAACTGCAGACAGTACTTTTTTTTTTTTTTTTTTTTTAAATATAAAAGCCTGGAGACCAGGCAGTTTTATTTCGTCAATGATATCTATTTACAATTCTAATTGATTAAAGTATTCGAATTCAATTATGAGTTATTTAGGTAATTACAGGTCTCAATTAACTAATGATATTTTCTCTCACAGGCGGCACGAACAGCGCACGGGCTATAACAGCCCGGAGTAAGCGCCCACCTGTAAGAGGTAACAAAGTTCTATTTAAAAGTTTTCTATTTACTATTTACAAAGAGATATTTCAGACCATGTGGGGCGCAAACAGCGCGCGGGCCTGTAGCCCGGAGTAAGCACCCCTCATGGGCGAGATTTAACAAGTTTTATTATATACAAAGGTTCAGGGGGGAGCAAGAGAGGGGAAGAAGATGGGCTTACCAGCGTCGACCGAACAAAGTACGTTTTTAAAAGACCAAAAATTCCTTAAGGTATCAGTGTCGTTACTAAGAATTCTGAGTTGGACATCTTTCTTAATTAAGTCTATAATCGCGTTGGAGCTCAAAAGAGAACCTTCGAAGGTAGCTTTATTTCTGGCAAGCCAACACCAATATATGATGGTTGCCTTGAGAAAGTTAGATAAGGATATAGCGGTGGTAGATTTGTCTAGGGAAAAAGGGTAGTAGACAGATGTAGGGGAGATAGAGAAGGGGGAGTCGAGTAGAGCACGGAAAAGGGGGAGAAGTGGTCCCAGACTTTCACAACTCTGGGACATCCCAAGAAGCAGTGTTCAATAGTTTCCGTTTTTCCGCAGATCGCGCATTTGTCACTATTGATGTATCCCCAAGACTTAAGGAGATATCTTACGCGGATCATTCTATGGATCAATAGCCAAATTAGATCGTTCTTCTTGTTTTCAATTAGCTTTAGGCGAGACTTGCGCCACACCCAGGCCCAACGATTGATGGGGCGGTCCATAGCAGACGCCCAAAAACCGGAGCACCGGGGTGCAACGCAGACGGGTTCAAGCAACAAAAGATATAAATTCTTACCGGTGAGTAAATCAGGTAAGGCACCAGTTTTCTGATGCAAGGTACGGAAATTATCTAGACAAAGGCGGTAGTAATTGGAAGGAAGGAAGGAAGAGGGAGCAGAATTGGTGGGAAAAGAAAAACGGGGATCTAGAATAGTTAGCTTATGTCCTAAAAAATATCGAGCTAGGTAATGCCATTTGGATGTGCCAAAGTCATCTCTTAAACTGGAAAAAACAGAAAGGCGCAGGCTAGCGCACTTAGCTTTAAAATTAACGACGCTGAGGCCCCCGGATGATGGGGGCGCACAACAGCGATCGCGACTAACATTTTCCATTTTTCCTCTCCAGATAAAAGGCCAAATGATCGACTTAAAGCTATCGTGCACCCAACGGGGTGGGGGGATGACTTTAGCAACGTGCCATAAACGGCTTGCGCCTAAAGTATTTACAATTAAGGTCCTACCGATAAAAGACAGGTCTCTTTGTTTCCAAAGATTTAGAACCGAACTTAGTTTGTCTAATTTGGCCCGCCAATTGTCGTCGTCGACATTGACGAGGCCGTTTGAGAAATAAACACCAAGCACTCTCATTTTAGTGACCCATTTGAGGCCATAGGGAGATTCAATTCTAGTTCGCCATTTTCCTAACCACATTGCTTCAGATTTGGACGTGTTCAGTTTAGCGCCAGATCCTTGTTCAAATTTTGATACGACTCGGAGAAG